GTCCTGAGAGGCCGGCGCAGCGGTGGCTCACGCCTGTAAATCCCGCACTTTGGAAGGCCGAAGCGGTAGCGGGATCACAAGCGTGCAGGGAGATCGAGATCATGGTGAAACCCCAGTCTTCTACTATAAAATACGAAAAAATTAGCGGGCGTTCCTAGTGGCGGGCACCTGTATCAGTCCAGTACTACTCGGCTGAGGCTGAGGCCGACGTGGAATGCTGTTTGAACCCGGTAGAGGCGGAAGCTTGCAGTGAGCCGAGATGCATGCCACTGCACTCCAGCTCTCTGGTGCCGACCAGAGCGAGACTCCAACCTCTCAAATTAAAAAAAAAAAAAAAAAAATTAGCTTAGGTTATGGTGTCAATGAGCTCTGTAGTCCCATGCTACGTTGGGAGGCTGAGGCAAGGGAGAATCAGCTTTGAATCGAGGAGGCAGAGGTTTGCAGTGAGCCGAGATTCACATCACTACACTCCAGCCTTCAATGCGACAGAGCGGGATTCCTCTACAAAAAAAAAAAAAAAAAAAGTAGGGATGGGCCTAAGTGTGGTGACATGTGCCTATGATCCCAGCTACTCAGGAGGCTGAGACGAGAGGATCACTTGAGCCCAGGAGGTGGAGGCTGCAGTGAGCTGTAACGGTGCCACTACTGCCCTCCAGGTGACAGAGTGAGGCCCTGTCTCAAAAAAAAAAAGAAATAACATTTTTTAAATATTATTTAAAGTGTCAAAGGCAAGGAGATTTATTCATAATCCTCATATTTCTTTACAGAAATTTCTCAGAACCCTGTAATTTCCAAAACTGAATGTAGTATGTTGTAATGTCCAGCAGAAACATACTGTGAACCACTAGGTAGTATTAAATCTTATAGTACCTGCATCACAAAAAAGTAAAAAGGAAACACATGAAAACACATCTTATTTAACCCAACATATCCAAAATATCATCATTTCAACATGTAATCAATATAAAAAATATTAATGAGGTTGGGCACGGTGGCTCATGCCTGTGATCCCAGCACTTTGGGAGGCCAAGGCAGGTGAATCACCTGAGGTCAGGAGTTCAAGGCCAGCCTGACCAACATAGTGAAATCCCGTCTCTACTAAAAATACAAAAAAGTAGCCGGGCATGGTGGTGCATGCCTGTAATCCTAGCCAGCTACTCTGGAGGCTGAGGCAGGAGAATCACTTGAACGCAGGAGGCAGAGGTTGCAATTAGCTAAGATCATGCCACTGCACTCCAACCTGGGCAAAAAGAGTACAACTCTGTCTCAAAAAAAAAAAAATGAGATATTTTACTTATTTTGTTCACACCAACTTTGAAATCCAGCGTGTACTTTACATTTATAGCACATCTAAATTCTGCCTATCCACATTTCATGTGATCCATAGTCACATGTGGTTAGTAGCTCTTGTACTGGGCAGCACAGTTTTGGACTCTGGGCCTGGCCTCTTAGCCTCTGAATCCTACATACTTTTCAGAAAGGCAGACTGAAAAGCTGCAATCCTTTCAAATTAAGGTGTGAGATGGGACCTTTTGTTATATATATGTAGTTCTATGACCACTTACTGGTCAGAGAAATAATAATTTAAATAACCTTTTTTTTTTTTTTTTTTTGAGCTGAGATCTCTCTGTCACCCAGGCGTGAAGAGTGCAGTGGCATGATTCTCAGCTCATTGCAACCTCCATCTCTTATATTGGGTTCGGACATCTCACTTGCCCCAGGGGGCCTCCTGCGTAGCTGGGGAGGGGAGAGCGGGTATACAGGCACCCACCAACCATGCCACTAATTTTTGTATTTTTAGTAAACAGATGAGGTTTCACTGTGTTGCGCAGGGCGGTCTCAAACTCCTGACTTCAGGTGATCTGCCCACCTAAGCCTCTCAAGAGGGCTGGGAATTGCACAGACATGAACCACCGTGCCGCCAGACCCAATAATAACATCAATTTATTAACTGTAATTGAATATTTATCGAGTTATTGCACTAAACACTTTTGTTTTTTTTTTTTTTTTGAAGATGGAGTTTCCTCTTGTGCTTGCCCAGGCTCCGGATTTCTATGGGCATGAATCGGTCTGGCTCATGCAACCTCCTGCCTCCTGGGTTTAAGAGACTCTCCTGCCGCAGCCTCCTATAGAGCCTGGGGATTACCAGGCCCGCCACATGCCTGGCTAATTTTGTGACTTTTTAGTTTGTTTTCTTTCTTTCTTTTGTTTTGTTTTTTCTTATTTTTTCTTTTTTCTTTTATTTCTTTTTCTCTTTTTAATTTTGTATATTTTTAGTAGAGACGGAGTTTCGCACCATCGTTGGCCAGGGCTGGTCTCAAATCCTGACCTCAGGTGATCCACCCCACCTTGGGCCTCGCCCAAAAGGGCTGGATTCCAGGGCATGAGAGCACGCGTCCAGCCCCATATAATAGATTAATTTAATTAACTGTATTGAATGATTTATCGAGGTGCTTACTAAACACTGTGGTTTGTTTTGTTTTGGGTTTTTTTTTTTTTTGAGATGGAGTTTCGCTCCTGTTGCCCAGGCTGGATTGCAATGGCATGAGCTCGGCTCACTGCAACCTCCACCTCCTGGGTTCAAGCGATTCTCCTGCCTCAGCCACCCAAGTAGCCGGGATTACAGGTGCCCGCCACCATGCCTGGCTAATTTTTTTTGTATTTTTAGTAGAGACAGGGTTTCACCGGGTTGGCCAGGCTGGTCTTGAACTCCTGTCCTCAAGTGATCTGTCCACCGGCCTCCCAAAGTGCTGGGATTACAAGCGTGAGCCACCATGCCCAGCCAACACTTTTCATGTATTAGTTCATTTAATTCTTCTCAACAACTCTGTGAGGCGGACATCTTTATCCCCATTTCACATTTGAGGAAACAGGCACACAGAAATTCAAGAACTTGCCTAAGGTCATACACTAATAATTGGCAGAGCTACAGTTAGGACCTAGGCATTTTTTTTTCTCTCCTGAGAATCTTGCAGCAGATTCCCTGTTGTTCTAACTCTCCAGTTTTATTTTGTTTTGTTTTAATTTGTTTTGTTTTAGAGACGGAGTCCCGCTCTGCCGCCCAGGCTGGAGTGCAGTGGCGCGATCTCAGCTCACTGCAAGGTCCGCCTCCCAGGTTCACGCCATTCTCCTGCCTCAGCCTCGCGAGCAGCTGGGACTACAGGCACCCGCCACCAGGCCCGGCTAATTTTTTGCATTTTTAGTAGAGACGGGGTTTCACCGTGTTAGCCAGGATGGTCTTGATCTCCTGACATCGTGATCCGCCCGCCTCGGCCTCCCAGAGTGCTGGGAGTACAGGCATGAGCCACCGCACCCAGCCCTAACTCTCCAGTTCTATTTTATTATAGTTCATCTGTTTCTTGGCGTCTCAAAATGTTATTTTCATTATGTCTGTTAAAGCAAATTTCATTCATAACCATTTAAGGCTCTCCATGAACTGTCCTTATCATTTTCCCAGACTTGTTTTTTCTTATCCTTTAACATATATTCTCCAGTCTGAACAAGCTAACCAGTTTAATGCTTGGCCCTTACAGCTTGCCCATTCTTCTCTTCTCTACCACTGCTCATGCATTATTGCTGGAATGACCTCCTCATCCTTTTTCGCAAACCGGGACCCTTCCCTTCCTTCAAATCTCACCTTTTCCAGAAAGTCCTCATTGACTAACTCCACCCAACTCTAACTCTTTTCCCATCAGTTCACAAGTACTGGCTTGTGCTGATTTATTTGTACTTGTTCTGTCTGTTACTCTGTAATTGTGCCATTGTTTTTGTTCTAGTTTTTTTTGAGACAGAGTTTTGCTTTTGCTGCCCAGGCTGGAGTGCAATGGCACGATGTCGACTCACCACAACCTCCACCTCCCAGGTTCAAGCAATTCTCCTGCCTCAGTCTCCTGAGTAGCTGGAATTACAAGCATGCGCCACCACGTTCCGCTAATTTTTTGTATTTTTAGTAGAGACGGGGTTTCTCCATGTTGGTCAGGCTGATCTGGAACTCCCAACCTCAGGTGATCCGCCCACCTTGGCCTCCCAAAGTGCTGGGATTACAGGTGTGAGCCACCACACCCAGCCTGTAATTGTGTTTTAAATTTATTTTATATGTGTACCTTTGCAAGATGTACTACTAGTAAGAGCTTGTTTTCTAATTCCTTTATTACTCTCAGTACTGGACCCTGCACAAAGTACATCTCAATTGTTATTGAGCTGACTAACCAATTAACCAGGAGAGAATAATTTACCCACTCTGTAGCCTTTCCTGTATGTACAAGATGTGTGCCCCATAGAGAAACTACGTGAACCTAAGACTAGAGGCAAATTTCTTTTATAAAATCATAGAAAAGATTAAAAACAAAACACTAGGCCAGGCAC